AAACGGCGCGGCGGGAAGAAAGCAAGCGAGAAGAGACCGACCGCGTGACGTGACATGTTGCGGTCGAATTTCAACGACTAATTTTTCTGTTGCCCTCTCCCCCGTTTGCTGTCGCGTTCAGACTGTCTCTAGGGATATCCCTGTCTCTGTGCGAGTTTGTTTGTGTCCTCGTCTTTGCTTTATTCTGTTTTATTTTGTCTTTTGTTTTGTTTTTTACTGGCACGTACCCCCGCCCCTTCCTTTGGCCGTCGACCTGCCTCCATGTAGTGGGAGGCTACCCCCCCAGGCTGGTGGTGCGGCCGTTCCACTAGTCTAATTATAAATTTTATTTTATTTTATTTGTTTCTGATTATATTTTGTTTTCTTGTATTTTATCGCTCTGCTGACCCTTGGGGTCCATTCTATTTTGGTATACCTTTTCTAGGTACGTTAGCCTGTGACCACGGAAATTGGCTGAGCCAAGTGATGGATTAGTACGGAGAGATTGAGACAGAAGGAGGTACCGGAAAGAGAGACCGGGATGGTTTTTAATGTGAAGACAACAACAACAACAACATTTTCTCGCCGAACCAAACATAAAAAAACACACTGTCTTAGACCGGCTAGAATGTTACGACACAACAACACAGCCTTCCGGAAGTAAGCGAAACTCCTCGCGTCCAACACACGGCGCTCAATCTTGTTCGAAATTTGGGGTCTGCTCCTTCGGTCATGGTTGTTGACGGCACAAACAATCGTTGACATATTCTATCTGCCAAGCCTCCGTCTGTCTCGATGTGTCTGTTTGCTCACATCATGGGGAGGGCAGACCCAGCTAGCACCGTCGAGGCTAGGCTACACGCGCATCACAAGAGCAGTTGACTCCTCGCCGGATGCCGCCGCTGCTGCCGTTGCCGCTGTCAGGTTCCCAGGAAGAATGTCCCCACTCCTGCCACCCTGCGCACGAAACGGACAGAGGGACAGGGAGAAGAGAATAGATTGCATTTGTGTGTGAGAGGCTACCAAAACGTGGGTGAGACGGGAAAATGCAGTCCTGCGGGGGGTCTTGCATTCAAAGGATTAAGATATTACAACCCCTGATTCTCTGGTCGGAGAGACGAGAAAGAGAGGTAGGGCTCTGAGAGCCGGAGAAGCAACGCCCCAGACTGCGGACAGACGCAAGAAATTGGGCGGACTTGATCAACCAGCGGCATGGCGGTGAGTGGGAAATGGCTTGGAACATCGGCTTCGTCCTGTTGTGTTTTCAGGCATCACGGAACGGTCGCCGCACAAAACTGCTGCTGTTTAGGTGTGCTCTTTGACAGTTACATGTAGAGGGGAAACCTGCTGGATTCTGGACTGAAGATTGCAGGCGGAACAAAAAGAACGTGTCCGCAGCAATACATTCCCCTCAGTGTCGGTATTCAAAAATGTCACATCTTTTGTATTGAGCGGGAAAACATTCAACAGCAGTGACCTCGGTAAAACGCCAAGGAGAGCAAGCAAGGACTCCGTAAGCTACTGCTGCATCCAAGTTTGTTGGTGCACGCCGCGGTGTCTGTAGGTCAGCAAATAAATCCAACCGCACGTGTCCCTGCGTACTGCGTACACCCTCCGTGCGTGTTTATGCTTTGTAGTGTGAACAACGCCGCGTCCAAAAACGATCAGAGTTTTTTTTTTTGCCTCCCATCATTGAACTCTGTCGTCTGCCCCTCTGGCCCCTATCCTCCACTTCTGCAAGTACCAGCTAGACGACCCAACCGGGGTAACCTACTGTAGCATGGTAATCTTTTCGGAGGGCGTCTCCGGAGATTCACGCCCGCAGCGCGTCATTACGGAGTTCGGGTTGGCGCTCCATGGATGAACGGCGTGAGAGTAGCTACCTTTAGGACCCCTCATAGATCGGTCCAATGAGGGATCTTCGCAACCCTTCACAGCGCTGCGGTATGGATGTACACGTACCCGTTGGTGTATTTTGATCAAAAACTGACTTCACAAATTGCTGGGTTGTACCACATCAGGGAGACGCACTATCGCAGCGAGCACCACCTGCTCAGCCATCACCCCCCTGTCGAGGGCAACACTAGAGAGAAGGTTTGTCTCCGCCAATGTTGAATCACCGCCAGGTAGGGTGGTCTGGTTAGCGGAAGTCTAGAGCTCTACACGGTCGTTTGCTGCGAAAAACACGTATTCTAGAGTTCAAAAAACGACAGCAGACTAGTCTAGACTATGCTGCTTGGACTTTCACAGGAACCGGCCACCTCACACTTCGTTTTTGTCTCCTGGCGCCGGTGCGTTCCCATTGAAAACTTGCACCGGATAAAACCTATGCCGATCACACCTGACGCTATCTCTGCCACCTGCTTACCTGACTGAAGCAGTTTCAACAGCAGTGGATTGATCACGTGTGTGCAGTGTGAACGGGTCGAATGCCCAATGATCCCCCCGAGTGGAACGCGGCCCAATACCGACCAGCCAATCCGATCCATTCGTGCCCCAACGTACCCGAGGAGGAACAAACAACAAGTCATGAACCATTTCTAAAACTGTAGACTAGAACCTGACACAGGACACATCCATCGGTCGATTTGTAACCCTCGACACAGCAGTAAACGTGGCGAAGTACTGCGCCTTTTTGCGATTCCGACGATGTGGACAAGTGGGACGTGCGCATACGGGGGGCCAGCGGTAAGATGCGCGGATTGTATGCGCAGAGCAGCATCGAAGATACAGGTTGTGTGTGTTGACACGACACGCATGTTGACACGACACACACAGGGCCATACTCAGTACCCCATTAGATTCTGCTCGTGGATGAACTTTCCTCCCCCCCCCCCAGAAGAATTGGTAGATCCTCCGGCGGCGGAACTAACTCTGCGCACCTAACAGTAGTCGAAGCGTTTCCCGTTCCATGAGGGTGGGTGCGGAATATCCCACGAAGATTGCTCAGCGGTGATTCCCGTCTTTGAGTCGTACTTAGCACAATCGTCAAACGGAAGGACTGTTCCTCACGCGTGAACCGGCTCTATTTCATTTGTCTGTAGTATCTTCGTCAGTTGGGGCGGTACGGACGTTAGAAGGTACTGAGCAGAGACTCGAATGGTCGTTGTCGTTCTTTTGTGTTTGATAATTTCCTCCACGCGGGACCCCTGGGTTTGGTCTAGACTACACCTTCACTGTAATCTACCAGTAAGTGATTTTCGTGGGACGTAAAAGAAAACAGCAAGTCCTACACAAAACTCGATTGGTCGTCGTCGTTATTCTGTGTTTGATAATCTCATCCACGCTGGATCCCTGGGTTTGGTCTACACCTTTAGTCAAGTCTGGGTGATTTTCGTGGGACGTACAGAAAACAGCGGGCCTGCAAGATGGCAACTGTCAATAAAACTAGAGTAGGTCGTAGGCACACCCTTGAGAACGCCTCTCGTTGTCGAACGGGGAAAAAAGCACACGTTAGCACTACTCTCGTCATCGTCGGACAAACTGCTATCGATTCATCTCCCCCCCCATCCCTGTGACCCCCGCTGTGTTTTNNACGTTGGACGTTGCTCACTCGAAAACCTGTGCTTCGACTACGCTAAGGTGAGCTGAGCCGGTTGCTGCTTGTCATAAGTATTTTCACGCTCACGCCTTGATGCTTTTACTGTCACTTCCTCGTTTGTGGCCACTTGTTCAGTGGCGTCCAAATCCCAGGAATCTTGGTGTTTTGTACGCTCCTCATGCGCTGCTTAATTTCGTGTAGACGTGTTATGTAGATACGCGCCGTCTTTGGTGCACCATGTGCATCAAATCTACCCCCCCCCCCCCCCCCCCCCATCCCTGTGAGAGACCGCGTTGTCAAACCCTTTTTATTTCGTCAGTTTAACACATTCAGTCCACCCCACTTCAGGATCAATATTTGTAACACTGTGGTACCCACCCTGATGGCATCAATCGTGTGAGACCTTCAATGTTATCTTTACAACAAACACACCCCTACCTTCAAGCTGCGCTTCGATCGAAAATCCCAACCGAATCCCTCCGTTCTATACTGAACAGCCATGCATTTTCAGCTCACGCTAAGCTCTGCCTCCGGCAGTCTGCAAATCAACGGGGGTTCGCAAATCAGACACAAAATCGGACACACCACAGCGTACTCCAAAAACCTGTCTCATCTCTGCCAAGGCTGGTGTACGTATCCACGGTGTACCTTGGCATTCAAAGATTCAAGTTCAAGGACCATTATCCCCTTTGTCGCCCTGCGAACGACTTCTAATCAGTAGTACTGCTTGAGCTTTTCCATCGCGTAGGCGTGCTTGAGAAGGAAAGCCGTATCTTCGGGGTCAGCACCCTGGACAAAGAGCGGGACAGAGAGGTGTGCGTGAGGAAGCTTGAGGTATACAAGCACGTGAAATTAGTTCGCAACCGGGTGGAAAATCGGCACCATGGACCCAGACACGCCAACACACCCGGCGGCACGCAACCAGAGTGAATTCTCGAGGAGGGTGCAGGCTCAGTACCCAGTCAGGTGACTCGGGTGGTGAACAGCGAGCGAAGAAACGTGCCGACTCTGGATCTTGTTTTATGGGTGTTGCCGTGTTCCTGGTGAGCTTCTGAGCAAGGAATTCGTTTTCTTTCCCTTTGAGAAGGGTGTTTGAAGGTAAAAAAGAAAGCAGCACAACAGTACCCAGCTGGGAGAACACAGGTGGAGCCCGCCTCTTTATTCCACAATGTTCCGCACGACTGTTGTGTTAGTGGTCTTGCTGCCAACGATCCGCCTGATTTGCATAGCAATCACTTGTCGCAGAGGCATCCGTCAATGCCAGCCGCGCGAAGGACTGCCAACCACGTGGGTCTACAGCTACGATGTGCTCACCGCTTGTTGGAGGCCCGAGTCGTGCGGGATGCGGGTTCTCTGCTCCACCTTGTACGGCTTCCCGCTCAGGATAGCGTCCACAGCGAGGTCGACATTCCTCACGATGGTCCACTTGTTCACTTGCCCCCGCTCTAGCTCTACGATCGTGTCAAAGATCGGTGCACCGGCTCGCTGCCTCTGAATCTGTGTTAGCCGCACATGCAGGGTCATACTATTGCGATGTTCCCATGGCTTCCATAAGTTTGGGCAAAGCGTTGCTGATCGTAACTCAGTGACGCTAACCACATAGGGCAGAGAAGAGAAACGTCACCTCCTGGCCGTGGTATCGATCGGACGCAATGTCATGTCAGCCTAAATATCCATATGTATCGAAAGAGTTTCGCGATCACTCACGCCAGCCACGGTCCCGTACCTTGGCTGGCGCATGCAAAGACATCCCCACTCATAGTCTTTCGGCCCATGACAAAACGTATGTTCGGGAAGCAGCATTTGTTTCGGGGAAACGCGATTGCGTTGCTCCCCCCAGGCTCGCCAACGATACACTCAACGTTTTCCCAGCCAGCGATACCCTCAACATACCCGACTACACAAAGTGGATCATTTGAGTGGCGGGCTAGCCTTACCGTTCTCGGGTGTCAAGCCGGTACCGCCATGTTTGATTTGCTCCGACTCGCTGTCGCACCTTGTTTCCCGCGTTGGTAGCGCTGGCCATCGCATCACCTAGGGTTACACTTGTTGTGCCTCCGACCAGAGTATTGAGTTCTGGGTTCTCGAGCAGCGATTGCAAGTCTCCGTGAGCACTTGCCACCACACGGACGCCTCTGGGAGCGACGGAGTGTTTCGTAGGAAGGCGAGAAAAGAAGGTTTCAATCCTCCCTCTTTACCCACAGGCGAGTATTGTACGTCTCCGGTGGTTTAGCAGATAGCCCTTGCCTATTCTGCTACCCGGGTGTGCCAAGAAACGTGCTTACTTCGAAACGCCAAGCAAGAACGGTGGTGTGCACGAGTGTAGTGTCAATTACTCATTGACTCGATTGAAGGAGGTCGGGCCACGTCAAAGTACCAAAACCTTTTCCACATCAGTGGATGCTACATATCAGGGCGTCTTACCGTGCCTTGATGTCCAAGCATGCCCTAGCCTCGTTCTTGTCGGATACCTCGTCCACCACAATCGTCTGGGGCGTGTGGTTCTGAAGCGCCTCTTTCATCACACTGATTTGCACACACCAGGGTAGAAGAAACAAACCAAGACACACACGGGACAGGCAGAACGAGCACATGAGCAGAATACCGCGCTGTGCAACCCTGTTCGCACACACGTACGTTCAAGAGGAAGTGGCGGTGAGTACAAGCCAACAACAACATGAGACTCGAATTTCCCCTCTTCAACGGAAAAATCTTTATGAACGCGGTGGCACAGCTACACCCACCCACAGAATGATCGCACCTTCACTCACTACCTTGCACCCCGAATCGTCGTCCCTTTCGATACTAGCGAGTCAGTAAAGACCCGAACATTTACGCACATCGGCGCATCCAAGCCAACGTATGGCAGGACGCCAAAAACAGGGATGCGTTTCATTCAAGTACGCGGCAACAAGCGACACAAACCGGAGAAATGTCTCCAAAGTCACGTCGGTCCAAACAGTAAAGATGTGTGTGAGTGACTGTGTGTAGATAGGCTGGCTGTTGGAACCTGCCTGTCTCACCTCTCCAAGCAATGGCAGCTACAACAATAAGGAGGACCGACAACATCGTGAGTGACCCGCCGCGCGCCCACCGCGTGTGAAGCAGAGGAAGCAAGGCTTACTTGTGCTGGCCTGCCTTGTTCGGAACCATCATCCTCCGGCTCTGTCCGATGGCCGCGAGGTGAGGGATGTGACCGTCGCCAGCAATCTCGTTGCTCGTGTCCACAATCACCACGGTCTGACCATGGGGCAGGTAGCGTCAATAGAGAGCGTGGAACCAAGTCAGATTCATCAGGTCATTGACGGCCTAACAAGGGGACGGAGTAGACGGTACTCTTCCGGATAGGGCGAACACGAAGCTCGCTGCTACATAAGAAACAACATTTCCCAGAACGTCTGGCCCACATCTTGACGCATGCCTGGTGTGCGAGTGCGGTTTCGACACAGGCAAGCACACACCACCTTGGTCGAAAAGTCAACACCTCGTCACTGGAGCAAGAACGAGGCAAAAGCCAAGCCTTCTCCACGGGGTGCGTGCGTGTCCAACAGAGGGTAACATCAGTTGTTAGAGCATTTTGCACCTGCTCCTGGGAGATCTTTCGGCAGATGTCGCGGAGCACCGTGGTCTTGCCAGACCCTGGCTTGCCCAGCACAAGGACAGAAGCAGCACGCTCGGGCTTGTCTGACGTGACGGAGAAGATCGTCGGTGGTCAATGTTTCTCGGAGACTTAGGCTGGTCAGTCAGAGCCTTCGAGGGCAGATGGCTATTTGTTACAAGCTTCAAACGTATCCCTGGTTCAACTACACTCTGGCCACCAACGGCGCGTAGTATGCCCTGGTTGGCGGACTGCGGCCCACTCGTGCGACACTCGCAGCGTCGGTACACCACAAGGCGGACTGGGGGCCAGAATCTCAAGGGCAACACTGTAGGGTCCACTCAGCAAACGTGGATGGGATGCACAAACGTGCTCTCACCGGGGCTGCCCTGCACGTGGAAGAGCACGTCGTCGACCAAGCTTGCACTACCCGAGAAGTAACGACCGATCCGCAAAGTCACGCCGAAGATTCGCCTCGCCTGTATACCATCCGGTCACAACATACGAGCACACACAACAAATTGCTTGAAAACACGACCTTTATTCATTTTTCTTCGATGACAAGAACTTTAAGTCAACGGCGCAGGTTTCAGCCGCGAGAACAAACGGGCGCGCTTAGTCACGAGGGACGCCTGCCACCTTCATACCTAGAAGAAGGCACGCCATCGGCCGAACACACACTTGTCCACAACCCAATCGTTCCGCCATATCATCGACAGTACTGTTACGCGGCGCACGCGCTCCATCAGCGGCGCTTTAACAAACGATTGTAAATTCGTCTCGAATGCGGAGAAACAACAAGCAGACGAGTAGCCGGCGTTGGTTTCGGCTGGGCGTTCGAAAGCAGCCTCCTGGCGTTACCTCCCTGCTCCTCATGACGCTGATGCGGTGCAACTGCCCCGGGACGCCCGCTCGGTTGTCACCCGCGAACTTGTCTTCGAGGTCGAGCCGCCCAACGACCATATCGATGTGTTCTTTGGTCACGACCACGCTCTTGTCGCTGCAAAGGAACAGCTTTCCGCGCCCTGAGGGTAGAGAGAGAGAGAGAGAGCACGCAGGCCATCGTGAGGAAAGCAAACGACCGTGATTGTTCGAGGAACATGCTTACTCGAACGAAGACAATGTTGGGTAACGTCTGTTTGTGAGAAAATTTTAAGGCATGCACCACGCGCTCAGAGAAGGGCTCGCGTTTTGCATTCAAGATGGACAATAACAATAGTGACTAGGAATCAGAAAGGGTGGAAAGAAGGCTCGACCCTTTTAATAGTCTTGATGGCCAGCGTTGAAGAGAAGGGTTCATTATGGTTGCTGCGTCGGCTAGAGAAGTCTCGTAGGTGCTGCGCGCATTAGATCTGAACTCGAACCCTTACCTTGCAGAGTGGCGTAGGGCCTCCTTCCTTCGTCGAGAACGAGCTCGTTCAGATCCTGTAGGTTCTGCAGGTGACTGGGTATGAAACATTCACAATTGGCAAGGTTGAATGCTTTATAGCGTTTACATGCGGCGCACGTGAAATATTCTCTTTCGAAAGCAAGCTTTATGTGGAACCGCCAATGCGACCCACAGGGATACTTTTGGGTTTCTTACATCACCCTGCGCCCTAGCTCTGGAGCATGAGGGTCCTGTTCACATGGTTTGGAGGCGTCGTGGTCTTTTCAACCCACCGTGGCATTGTCCCGTGTTTTTCGTGAGAAGCGAACATCAAAGGCCCATCGTGGTATTTGGTTCTCTTTTTGACGAATACGGGGAGGAACAAGCAAACTTGCCGTCATAGCCTAGCCGACCGGAATATGTACATGGGAGAGGCTGCCAGCTGTCGCATCCAGCCGGAGCCACACGTCAGCCCCAACGTACAATGCATCACCTCCGTTGCCGAATCTAGTCTCTCTCCAACATCACGCGCTGCTCACCTTTCTGTCAGGTATTCTTCGAGAAATTCTTCGGGAATACGTTTCAGAATCTCGTGGGGAGAGTTGGGGTCTTGCGCCACGCCATCGCTCTGCTTCGAGCTGTCAAGGGCCGACCTAACAGTGCAGCAACAAGGGCAGCACCGAGGTCAGCAATCTGGGCTTAACAAGGTGAACGACGAGGGCTTAGCAAGCAGTCGATTCAGTCGATTCATACGTCTCCCGGTCGATAATTGTACACAGTTCCACAGCCGAACAGACAAATGCTGCCATTTTCTAATCGTGCCATGTACCGACAACACGAAGCACGCGTCCACCCAGGTATGTTCAACAAATGGCACGGTCATGGGCTACGTTTCTTCTCCGACTACGTGCTGTATAGCTCAAAACCGCTACATTTCGCATCGGATGTGAAGGTGCTCCCCCAATTCTAGGCCTGAAAATAGGGCGTACGTTGGGTTGGTGTCGTCGAAGATGGCAGGTGTCGCGTTGGAGGACAGCGCCTGTCGTGAAGGAGCCGATAGCCCGCCCCTTTCTCGGGCCTGACGGACGAGCCCATTAGACAACGAACGGGAAAAACTTGTTGAGGGTTTCAACGTTCGAGTTTTGCGACCAAGTGCACCTCTAGAGACCGCGGCCTTGCCACCATTATTGCGTAGGTCGCATTGAACTTACGTAATCCTTCCGTATGTAGGAACTATACACGATGTGATACGGGTGGGCAAATACCTGCTTGAGGTCGAAGCTTGTCAGAATTCTCCCGACCCCGCCTCCACAGCAAGAACCGTGGTTGCGAAACGCCACCCTCCGCGTGTCTTGCCTCCCGGAGGACATGGCGAACTCTGTCATACGCTGGAAAACAAGGGGGGGTATGTTTTTAAGTATTACTAATAGTGGGCTCGCGCCAACCTACGATGACTACAGAATATTTTTGGCATTGTGGCAGGCTTTGTCCGGCGACTAGAATATGACTCCGTCTGCGTGGTCGCGCAAAGGGATACCGTTTAACTGTTTAACATGCGCCCATCCTGCTGCCTTTGTGTCGTAAGGCTGCAAGATTTACCGCACAACGCGTACGCTGGTGCACGGGCTTAGCATGAAGATTGTTCCGGACCTGAGAAGCTTCCAGCACGATGTCCTTCTGCCCTTCCTTGGATAGACTCAAGATGGCGCTTTCCGTGACCTGGCGACAAAGACAGAACAAAGACAAACATCCGAGAAAATTGGTTGTACATCTAGCAACACACATGTGGCGTCGATTTAAAAAGCATTGATTGACTTCGAGAATCGATTCCTAGTCATTCTGAAAGCAGTGGATTTCAACGTTGTTGGCACACCTTAGCAAGCGATATGACTGGCTGTGCTGCCAAGCCCAATGTTGTCGCGTCAATGGGTCGCCTCATGGTTGACGCTTCTTCACAGCTGAGTGCCCTGCAACACGTGGTGCGATGTCGTCGCGCGGAAAATAAAAGCGAGGAGGAAACACTTAGCTGTGGACGTGAACTCGAGCCATAACAACCACTTTCTTGCCAATGAGCAAACCGCAAGCGGAAACTAGAAAACAAAATCCTACTTAGCCCCAATCCCTGATCAGAAGAGCTCTTGACCACGAGGTATGATTATTGCCTAAAGTTGTCGCGCTCTGATAATGCAACTTGTATCGCAACGCATTTGCATGCACGCATAGCGCCGTGTACGACTATGTCAAAGGTGACGTGCTTCCAGTGATTCGTGCACGGTGCCGTATCATACCTTCCCCACCTTGCGAGCTATAAGCGACAGCGGGAAAAATAGAGAAGTAAGCAATGGCACCTTCCGCAGCGCGACAACCAAAACCGACGCCAGTTAACTGAGCGGAGGGGCACAGCAAGTGGTCCCGGCGGCATTAATAGAGGAGTGGGACGCAATCGGCACCTGAAGGCGGCGTCATTGTACGAAGCCGGCTGCCCGAAAGCTGTCAAGACTGTCACAATATCCGCTCCGAAGTGCCCGTGGAGAGCTTCAGAGGCCAGCTGGAGGTCCAGGATTCTACCAATCGTGAACCCCGCGCCAAATTGACGCCGTAAAGCAATCGCGCTGTTGCTGAAGTCGTATACCACCTGCATCGTCGAATAATCGAGCCTCTTGCTATTGAACCACAGCAATGTAGTTTTTACGCTCACAAAGACGACCAGCGTAAATGGATCGGCTCCTTACAAGCAAGCATGGAGGGTCAGAGAATTGTGAAGTTCCAATATCGATTAGACCCTCCCCCCCCCGCCCCCCCCTCCGGTGTTTGACATCGGAGTTGGGTTTTCGTCGCTTGGCAACGATGTTGTAAAACAAACCGATCACTTCGTGAGCTCGGCAACCAGGTTACCGCTTTTTTTTCTCCTTTGTTTTCTCTTTTGCGGTAACCATGAATGGTGGTCGAGTAGATTATGTTGTGCGGGGTGGAGAACCCTCACTCCGCGCAACGGGGATAATCGCACCACCTTGTGATAAATTAGTCAAGCACCCTCGAGGCAGTTACAACGTGCTTACAACTGTCTCCGGAAGGGAAAAAAACAGAACACAAATTAAGTCATATGCAGCTGTCATCCGTACGCAAGGAAGTAAGCACAAGATGCCGAAAACCCTTGGCAGGATGCAGCGCACCCTTCATGCGACTCGCCGAATACCTCATGGCGCTTCGCGCTTGGTGATGTAAGAACCTGGTCCGGTGAGAGTGAGAATCGGCGTGCTCCTTCCCTGCTTTGTAGGGATGCGAGGTCAATGGTCTAACGACTACGGCATGCCCGACAATACGCACCCCCCCCCGCCCTCGCGGGGTTGGGTTTTCGTCGCTTGGTAACGACGTTGTAAAACAAGCCGCCCCCCCCGGTGTTTGCCATCGGGATTGGGTTTCGTCGCTTGGCAACGACGTTGTAAAACAAGCCAATTCACTTCGTGAACTCGGCAACCA